GAACAATTAAAACCTCATAAAAAAGGCAACTAATCCATTTACCCATAATTGAATCCAAGGACACCAGTGTTAAACACTCAGTACTTATCCTTGATAATGTGTTAATCCAATTAATATAGTGAGATAACGTAACGTTAGTTTATTGAGGGCGGGTTGAGCTAATCACTAGGCCTAGGCCTATTTTGTGTTTCTCTCATGGTATTTCGTTAGCCTTGCAAAAACAGGGTAAGCTGCAAACGACGGGTAATCGTGTATTGTTAATGTGTCGCGTGTTCGACCGCTGATTTGATTCAAGGTGTCTGGTCAATGAAGTCGTATATACCATAGAGTATCCGCTTAAAGTCAAATCTATGTTGTGTAGAGGATAAAGGACGGTATGGACAAGTGAATTCGTCCTAGAGGTTCCCATTAGGATTGCAAAACCTGCTTGTGTTGAGTCTTGATTTCAACAACCCAAACACCAGGTGGCAATGTTGACTCAATGCTAATGAAGCTGATAGAATACAATAGGACTTTTACCCCCTGACTGACCTTATTGTCAAGGTCATTTCAACACTATTCATAGTTAAGTTAGCTGTTATCAACTCAAAAATGATACAGAGAACAATCATAAATAAAATACAATAGGCTTTGTATTTTAATTATGTACCTCAGCTTGTTTGAATTTAGCTTGTTAAAAATTATGAAAGGTTAAACCATTATAAGATCAATAAAGACATGATTATTAGTTTTTTTGTTCAAATATCACATGGTTTATGAAATCCAAGAAGCCATTGTTCTCAATTCAAAGAGCTTTAGCAAAATGGAGGGTACTACAAAAACTACCGCTAGTTGTGAACCAATTTAAAGATGCCTGCATATCTCATGGAGCAATTAATTAACTTGTCTGCTAATTGATGGTCTGCTAATGCATGGTATAATTAAAGGTGAACATTCAGCATTAGTGATGCTAATAATCTGAATAAATATACCTTAATGTATAGTTATTATCTATAAAAATTGTAAACACCTAAATATTTTATTTTATTTTAATTTATTATTTTATTTTACTTATAGAGCTCTGTTTTATGTTTAGAGTACATTTAACTCAGTTCCCACAGACTGTGATTGTGTGTAAAACCTCCACATATTGTATTCTCAGGCCTACCGTCTATAAATATATTGATATTTTCAAAACGTTCCTGTAACATAAATATTTATCAGTTTTACTGTATTTCATGAATATTTATGATATTTGTTTTGTGTGTTAATTTTTTGACGTTATTTACATTTGATGGTAGGCGTTACATAGTACAATAGAAGTGGGTTGTTACTGAGTTGTCTGATCCACTTTAGTTTGTTTATTCTGGTCTTTTGATTGAGATCACCATATTGTTATGAACACATCATGCTGGTCTATTATGGCCCTACAAGAAGAATAAGAGGAACTAAGTGGTACAAAATGTATTTATTTTGTCATTGAGTTCCTAATCTAGAATTAGTCTCCATTGTTGGCTAATCTAATGTCCAAATAGACATGCACTTTCACAATCATCCTTATTGGTTTGCTACAAAACACTCGTACAGCTATGCTACAAGCACAAAATTCATTCTCATGGTATTTACTTGCTACAAAGACAAAACAGTAGGTTAAGAAAATAGTTAAAATGCTTTTCAATGTCTATTCTCATTTACTTGCTACAAAGACTTGACACAGTGGGCTATAAGACAACTTATAGCACTTCAAAATTCTCAATACTTGCTACAAAGACTCAAGAGTAGGCTAGGATAGGATTGAGAGCTTTCAAATTCTTATTACTTGCTACAAATACTTGCCACACTACTTTAGAATAAGGCAGAAAAATGTGTTTGAAATTCACGTTCTTATTTTCATGGTACAGTACATAAAAAACTAATATTCAGCAAGGCTATATAAACAAGCTCTGCAACAGTCATTTTAATACTTGCGACAAAGATTCACTTTACTAGTACAGAATAAGTGCTAGCAAAAATCATTCTCAACTGCTCGCTACAATGACAAAACAGTATGCTAATTAATAAATTCATTCTTATTCACTTGCTACAAAATTCATCACATTGATCTCTAGCAATGATAAGCACTACAAAATTCCCTGTCATTGACTGGCTATAGTTACAGATAGAATAATCGCTGCATACTGATTACAACGGTGTGCTCGATCAATGGTTTCCATAGCAATCAAGCGATGATTGATATTAGCCCAATCTCCAGAGACTTGTTCGTGTTGCATCCTTGAAAGTAATGATACTGGGCATCTCTGCATATCCATATTACCAATTCTCATGCTATTACTGCGATTTCAAACAACATAAAGAATAACATTCGTTACACATTACAGTATTCCGTTGAGGTTGTTGAATATTCATGGGACTAGTGTTATGTTCTTGCAAGCAGTCCTGCTTATCTTTTTATTGTATCATAAAAAGTATCTTGTTAAAATATCATATTACATTGATTTCTCTTTAAAAGCTGACTATTTTAATTCCCTGAATGATTCAGAAAATTTATTTTCACCTTTCACACAATGTCATAATTTAATTTTGCCTAGCATTGATGCATTAATGCATTTCAAAAAATGTAAATATCCTGTACTATCCATCTTTGATTGGTTAGGATAATATACTGCAACCATGTCAACATAATATAGGCCTACACATGACGCTTGTGAGAATGCTGCTGAAATGGTTGGCAAATGACTACCTGACTACAGCAATAGTTGTTGATAATATCAGTTAAACTTTAGAAGTATTATTTAGATATAACCATTTAGGTTTTTTCAACTTCACTTAATTTATTAGAGCATGGCCTAAAAGTACTTGTAAATGCAAATGCCTTGTTAAAACTGGAAGCATTGAAAAATTGCAGACAAAATTAAAGAATTAATATATTTACTTTCTGTTTTTTTTTTCTAGTGAGCACAGCAGTACATAATAGTTATAGGCCTTATATAGAAGATGCCAGTTATCATGGAGAAATTGACGAAAATACAAACTCTGTAAATTTACATCCCCACATATTTGCAAAAGATGACGACGAGGGTGTTAATGGACAGATATGTGCATTTCACGTTCTGGATGAAACGGTACCATTCCGCATCGATGTTGTAGACAAGATAACTGGTCAAGGGAACCTTGTGGTCCTCGACCCGGAGAGGATTGATTGCGAACGGCAATCAGAATGGAAATTTGAAATACAAGCTGGTGACTGTGGCAATATTGCACGATATTCTCACAAGTAAGTACAGTTGTATGCCATGTTTAGGTGTTACTTGTTACGACAAAAAGTATGCTGACGTGTTTAAAATAAAATAATTTTGCTGTGGATCATGGAGAATGATTTAAATTTCATTCCAACATAAAAATTTCACTTACTGAAAACTTTCTGCCACACACTTAAATAAGCATTCTAAATTATACATTTGTTAATAATTATGAACTCTGGATCAAATTTCCTTCTAAAACATAAAGTTACAATATAGATAAATACATTACACCTGGATTATTTACATACTGTAAGAGAGAAGACATTCTAAGGGACATTGTTATATTTAATTTGTGTACACCATGTTCTACTAGATCTACAGTGCATATTGTAATGGCGGATGTCAACGATAACAAACCGTACTTTAGCAAGATAGCATATGAAGTTGCTGTGGATGAGGGTGAGTTGTTGAAGAACTTTACCCAAGTGGAGGCCCTTGATGATGATTGCTCCGCCCAGTACTCGGCAATCTGCGAGTACGAGATCATCACACCTGACGTTCCTTTTATCATTGACAATAAAGGTAAGTTGAAATGCTGGCACTTATCTTTTGTAATAGTCACCTTGAAGTGTATTTTATGTTATCACCTGTTGAACTTCCTTTATAATTATCAATGCCAAGTTTACTTGATAAAATGTGTTTTTCATAATAAGAACTACTTGACCATCATTTTGTGATTTTAATGCTGGAATATTACAATGTAGTGTCCAGTGTTCAAATCTGGCAAAAGAATGTCATAACTTTTCTTGCAATCATAATACTTTCAAAATTTCTTTGAAAGACCTGCAGTGGCAGATCTAGCATTTTGAAATAGAGGGGCATAAGGAGGGACTTCCATAGGAGGAGGTCTAGACCACCTCAGCGCCACCAGGGTTGGGGACTGAGGTAAGAAAATTTATGACTATGGCACCTCTAGCCGGCAACAAATGCCACGCTCACACTAAAATTTGAATATAATTTTCTTTTTTTCCATTTTTTTAAATTTTTTTAATAATTTTGAAAAATTTAGGAGCCCCAGGCTGGTTCCTCGTCTCCCCTCCCCCCACCTTGAATCCGCCACTGACTTGGTTATTTAAATGTGAATCCTCAAGGAAATTTGGAGTAGGCTTCTGGGGACCTGCACCATCAGTAATACGGCTCTTACCATGGCCTGTACCAGCTGTACATAGGGAGAAAATCCCTATTTTTTTCAATATTTTTTGAGTGCACATGCACTGCAGTATTGTAGGCACAGAACCAACTTCTTAATGTCCTATTTGTAGGATGCGCTAAGAAGAACAGTGTCTGGTAGCAAAGCATGTCAAGAATGATATTGGCAGGCTTAGAGCTCAGTCCCTCTTACCAAAATCCAATCCCTTGCTGCTGGGCTACCTCTCCCTCCTATATTTGTTGTGACATGCTTTCATGGTAAAATTGCATTAAATGGCATCACTACTGACAACATTTTTTTCAGTTTTTACACACTCCCAATCCCACAACTTGTCTTTAAATTTACATGTACATGTAAGAAAACCATGTCTCAAATGCTAACTACCAGACAAGAAAGTAAGAACAACCAGTCCCTTTATGAGATACCATGGTTTAAATCAGCTTTGTTATATGCTGGGATCATAAAGTGAAGACAGGATTGCTTGCTATGATGATAAAGATTATTTACACCTCTTGAGGACAGGGAATGCAGGATTTAAGCTGACAAATTAGGAGCAAGATTCTCATATTGTTTCCAGAGGACTTTGATAAATTGCTGTCATAGAATAAAGCTGTTTTAAAACATCACAGATTGCTAGTAAACACCATGGTCTCCACACTTTGTTCCACTTGCCTACCTACAGTAGCAGAGAGTATATTCCATGTAGTTACTCGGACTGTATTCTAGCTAGCCTACATACACAAGTAGTTTACTCTACTTGTAAGATGCTTTTATAGGCAGTTTATTTCAATTAGGTATTCAGGCAGCATTCAGTATCCCACATAACAAAAGGCCTATTGTTTAAATATGAAGCCAACCAGCATTTATCTTAATGGTTTAAGGTAATATATTAATGTATTGCGTTGATGTTAGCTTCCTATGTTTATGTTTTACAGTACCTGTGAGTAATCTTGGTGTAGATTTTATTGCTATATATATCCCAATTATTTTGTCTCTCTCTCTCAGAGATATTCATTTTTCTTACATTATCAAAGAAAAATATTAAAAGTACATTTCTTGATCATCAAAGCTTTAGAGCCTGAAGCGACATTTTTGAAAATATTATCTGATCATAATGATCTCTGAAATTTACGGGATATTGCCTCCTTAGTCTAGTGCAAGAAGATCAGTCTGAATGAACTAATAATTCATAATTCCCCCTAACCCAGTAACATGTTACAGGAGCCTTTTTAGTATCTTGAATATTTAATTAAAACTCTATAAAATAAGGGAAATTGTTACTTGTTTCAAAATTGAAATGGATTGCGCACAATTTCTGCATCGATTTCACGTTATCATCACAATGCTCTGAATCATTCAATCATCATCTGCAATATTTACACAATTTGTGTGCATTTATCTCTTTGCATCATATTGGAATAAACATGAGAGCTGGCAACTTGTCAAAGGTCAAAGTTTAATAATATGCAAACAGAGTAAAATGAATTATGTGTATTATAAGTAGAGAGACTGAATTCAAGCATGTTAGTGTTGGATGATTAATATTGCTATTCTACAACAATGAGAGGCGTAAATTTAACAGATATTAGCCCATTAGATTTAAACTAGGGATTATATTTTGTACTAAATTTAAATACATGTGATTATGATAATTATAATTTCAAAGTGATATTGATAAATATTACATTTAAATCCATGATAAATTGATGACAGTGTATCTGAGGAATTGAACTGATGACCTCTTCATTTAGATTTTTCTGGTGCTGGAATCTCTCTTGGTGTCTTTGAGTAGATGTTAATGTTTACAGTTTTCAATGACATTTCCAAATGTATGAGTTAAACTCAATTGGAATTCTCAAAGTTTAACTGGCCTTTTTTAACCATGATTATAATCAAATTTATTTAATATTGAAGATAGTATTTTGAAACCAGATAGGATAACATTTTTTTTTCAAAGTAAATACAGATATCTTTACACTAACATGACACGCCATGCTAGGCCTCTTGTAATGTTCTATTAGCCGATTATTAAAATGTTTTTACATGTTAAATGCCTTGAGGCCTTGAAGGTGTTTACAAAAGTACCATCCTCAGAAAATCACTTTAAATAACACTGCCTTGAGGGCATGTCTAAATGCAGCGAAAGTGCTTTCTTGTAGTGTTTTGACTATGGCTGAAGATCAGTCCAGGCTAGATGGAGAGAACACTCTGTAATGGGATCGACTATTTCCAGCTGTGTATTGAATATTTACCGGATGGTGGACTGTTAGACGTGCTGTTAGCTTAGTCAGACGTATAGCTAAGAATGCCTCTTTGAATAATATGCATGGTCGTTGAAGGAAATGTAAATACTGTAGATTTTATTATAGATTTGACTACTTCTGATCTACTTTCATGTATTTCAAAAAGTAAGTGAAGTATAAATAATTTACAAACATGCATTTAATCTTTGCCATTTGATCCTATTGTTCCAGTACTAAGTTATTTATTTATTATCACTTTGGTTTTCAGTAAATCTGATGGTGCATTGATAATTCAATATATTGATTAATGATAATATTTCAATAATTCCAAATCATATCAAATGTATTTTTCTACAGTATTTGGAAATCCCATTGGAAATATTGATTGCAATTGGCCTTGATTAGGAAAAATGTTTAAAATATCTTTAGTTTATAAGGCCCTATAAAAAATATTATTAGTTTATCATCCTACAGTATCTAGGCTGGAAAAGTGATGAGGGAGGTAGGTTTTTTTATTTCTTTATTTTGCTTAAGCCAAGTATCACTATTGGGTTGTTTGCTGATGCTTTATTCAAAGTAAAAATGATTGAGATAATTCAAATAATATCTACTATTTATTAAAAAAAACAAGTGGAAAATATTTTTTTTTTTCAAAAAAGAAAAATAATTTATTTCAAATTAGTTTTTTTCTGTACCATAAAAGACATGCATGCGAGGGTGATAAACTAATAAAAAAATGTTATTGGGCCTAACAAATTTAACCATAAACAACCATTATTATAAACAGTGTGTTATTACCAGATTGCCAATTGTACTGACTTCATATTGCCAGTCAACATTATTTATGTTGCTAATACCTCTTCACTTCAATTAAGGAAAAATAATGTATTGATAATAATGTTGCAAAAAAGTACAGTTAATAAATTTTTTGTTTTGTCCGATGTAGTTCCCATCAATTCATCAGGGCAAAAGATTGAGTATGGTATTGCAAGTCTGACAAAAAAACCCCAATTTCTTATTTTCGAGTACTGTATGCAATAACTCAAATTCTAAATTATCATCATGATGTCCAGTTACATTATTACATATTTTATTAGGTCTAACATGTACATTTTGGTGTTCAAGTTACTACATTATGTTATTATTTGAGTAACATTATATACAGTCTTAGCATTATTCTTTCATTATTTTACTACACATGCATTGTCTTACAGTATGATGGTATCTGACTCTAGAGTAGGAGAGTTAATAAATATGCACATACACCCATATGAGATGCGTCGTTCAATTAAACCTGCTATAGATTATTTCTAATAGCGACTATCAAAGTACAATTTGTCAGAGGTTCAGTCTAGGTGATTTCTCGGATTTCTCTGTTCCACTGTAATATTATTCATTGAAACTGGTATACTGTAATTAGAGTGAACAAATGCAAGAATAAATTAATTAATGAGATTAGTAAGAGATTGAAAATAAATAGTACATGTCACCTTCATGTTGAAACATGTTAGTAAATGAAAGAATATAGAGCTATAGTGATAAATGTGAGTTAAAATGTATGAATGAATCAATAATTTCCACCACAAATAGAAATCAAATTTATCAGTCTCTGTAATATTGTGTATCATTGAACATGTAATTACAAAATTGTTTACATTGTAATATGTAAGCATACTATTGAATAAGACTTTAATTTGACTTTCATTAATTCATTGGTTTATTGCAATCAAAGTCCCTGTCTATCATTTACCAATAATTGTCCCGCTGTCTTTGTGGTTATATTGCTCTTCATTTGAAACGGTTGCCTGTGAGTAAATGCAATGGATAAGTTGTTTACCTATACCGTTGCCTAGCAATTCATCATTCATCCATGCCCAATAGACTGCCTGCTATTGTTTATTGGTATCAGTAAAGCTAGACATAATTTAAAATCTATAAATAATTTGTTTATCTGTAAAATTTCATAAAATTTCATTCTTGATGATGACATAATTAATGTTGAAATATTGAATCCTGACACGATGGTGTGCATTTCGAATGTATTATACTATCTTATCTGAGTTACATTTGTCATCTTAAACTATAATCCTGTACTCATCATCACAAACTCATAACAATCCAAATTATAT